CATTCCTGACTCGGTATCATCTTCCTAGTCGCTCTTCGCTGATGTTAACTCACTGTTTTTTCATCCTCTTCATGTTCCATTAATTAAGCCAGGCATCAGAACTTTGCTCTTTCTTTTCTCTATATTCCTGTTTATATATAAAGAGCTACGTTTTTCACATTCGCGAAGCGCAGGCTTTAAGAACAACATCAAAAAGTGCGAGAGTTGGCAACACTGTTGGGGCTGGTCCTGCTTTGAGCAGGAGGCTGAACTAGATGTGACCTCTCAGCCCTACTGTCATGCAGTTCTGTGATGCTCTGTATGGAGTGGGGTGGAAAAAAGGGTGGGCGTGGGAAATATCCTTGTGTTACAGGAGATTGGGAGAGTTTCTGTGGGCACACCAGTTGGGTTGCGTTTAGAGGGGTTCAAGGAAATGGCAGTGATGAAAGCAAGGGGTGGGTTTAATGGGCTTCAAGGAAAGAAACAGTGATAATGACAAAGTGATGGGTGATGAAAGGGAGCTTCGCCCCCAGTGGCAATGCTATCTTCAGCCCTGTGGGCAGCTGTGTCGCACTCTCCTCAAGGCACAAATGCAGCCCTGGGGTGATGAAAGTGACAACCTAACGGAGGTGGGAGATTTGAGCACTGAGCAGTTGAGGAAGGTTTGGAAAGGGACTTTGGGTAGATGACTGAAGGGGGAACATAGGGAGATGGTATGGAAAGTGGTGAGGAGGGTACTACTGGTGAGAGCTGTTCAAAAGAGGGGGTTACTGAGGACTGCGAAGTGTCAGAGAGGAAACTAATGGGGAAGAGACAGGAGTACCTGCACTCTAGGAGTGCCTCTCTACAAGCGAGGTGTGGGCAAAAGTGCAGGGATTCTTTCAAACCACGGGGATGTGTCGGGGGTAACATGAAATGGTCGTGTATGGGGGGAATCCCAGAGTAGAGTATTAGGGTTTGGGTGATGTGTTAAATCTGCCACCTGGAAAGTGCAGAGCCTGCTGGTGATGAAGGGGCAAGTGTTTCCTGTTAAAGACTGCCAACAGCTAGCATTGAGAAGTGAAGCATTATGTGAAGATAGATGAGGAGGAGGGAGGAAGGAACATGGAAATGCTGTGGGGGAAAGTGGACTGGCAGGTTTTGTTTATATAAAAGCAGATGGGAAACAGTTGTTAATATAAGCGGGAAGGTGGGTGATGGTTAAGAAGATGAGAGAAGGAAAGGTGGGGTAATGTGCAGTATTGATTAAAGAAGAGTTGTTTTCCCTTTTGTTTGGCTTTATCTTGTATTTGGGTGTTCTTTGGGTTTGTTTGTACATTGAGACTTGGTTATTTCATATATATATATATATATATATATATATATATATATATATATACACACAAGAGGGAGGTTGGCAGAACAAAGCAATGTGAATGTGAAATGGTAGTGTGAATGTGAGGGTTTCGCGGTGGGGAAGGCTGGAAATTGGATGCCTTATTTATGGACTGTAGGGGGAGATAAAGGAAAAAATCTGTGGGTTAAGAGGGATATGTTTTGCTTGTTTAAGACTGGTAATGATGGTCCTTTTTGTTAGATGAGGGTATTTGTGTGTATTTTATAAGTGATCTCTTAAGTAAGGTGATATGTATTTTTTACTATATTAGGATTAGGAGAGGGGATTAGGATTAGGTGAAGAGATTAGGATTTTGGGATGTTACATTCAGTTGTAATGATATATGGAGTGGTAGTTTTGTTTTTTTTTGTTTTATATATATTTATCTTGAGTATTTTTAATTTTTAAAAAGTGCTGCTTGCTAATGGCTCTCTTTCTCCTCCCCTTCCCCCAGTTCTCCAACCTGCTAGGTGCTGTCTATCGCCGCGGGAACCTGAGCTTCACCCCCGATGGCGATGCCGTCCTCAGCCCTGTTGGCAACCGTATCACCCTCTTCCACCTCAAGGCGTGAGTGTGGCCCTGTCCCCCAGGCTGCTGCAGGGATGGCAGTGGGGGTTTAAGTCCCCTCTACCAGCCCCCGCGCGGCCCCTGGCCCAGGCAGGCTTGCATTGGATCCCTGCTTAAGGGGGGAGGGGAAAGGAGAGGGCCTGTTTGTTGGGGAAGGGAGAGCACCTCCATGCCACCTCTGGAGTGCCCCATGGGGCTGAGCGGTGAAACCCAGGCAAAGGCCTGTCCCCCCCCCAGGCGCCTGTGCACCTTAAAATCAGTGATGGGGGTGCTGCTGTGACTGGGTAACTGTGGCAGCGCACCTTTGGGTGCTTGCCACTTTAAAGGCTGAGGCAGGCAGCTGGCAGGTGCCTGATTTAGAGTGGCCATTTTAGGACCCAGCTTATATAGGGGGAGGCAGCAGTTTGCTACCAGTGGCCATGAAAGAAACATCAACCGGCTGAACTATGGCTCAGGAACATCCTGGAGGTAAGGGCAGGAGCTATGTGGATGGCATGGAGGCTCCTGGTCCTGGGCATGACCTAAAACTTCACCCTACCAGGGTGGGGAAGCCTGGTGGGACTGCCTATGGCTCGGCAGTCTCAACTAAATGCCAGGACTGATAACTTTCCTGGTGAAAGGCAGATAGGGGCATCTTAACCCTGACCCTTCTGGTGGGTAATTGTGAGAACTGTGGGTGTAGTGGGGCCAGGTGCACCCATTAGTAGGCACCTGAGCTCAGCAGGGACAAAAGGTCCCGGAGGCGCAGGAGTCGGTAGTGTTATTGGGAAAAGTTATGGTGAGGGCCCGCTCAGAATAGGGTGCAATAAGGCGCACTTGAAGGACTGAGTGTGTGGGGGTGCAGAGTAGGGCTGCTGAGGGTGGCCTGAAGGGTGTCACTTTGGGGTGTACCGAATAGGGCTGCTAGAGTGGCTTCAAGGGTGGTACATGGGCCAACCCCAAGTGCATGTTGGTGAAATTAGTTGCCTGCTGAGGGGCTTGGGGCAGATGCAGCCCACCATTGGTTTAAGGCTACACTGCATAGAGTAGGGGAACTTGTGGGAACTGAAGTTGCTGCATGGTGGTACCAGTGAGAGTGTAGCTAAGCCCAAAAGCCCACAAAGTTGCTCAAGAGGAACTAGGGCAGTGGAGTGTGGCCCAGGATGGGTGGTATGCAAGAGGCCCCCTGTGAGACGGGGTGTGGAGTGTGTGTGAGAGTGAATGGAGCCCAATTATGGACTGAATTTGCCCAGCCTCAGGCTGGGGGGAAGTAATCATCATCTGCATGCTGTCTGCAGAGAGTGGTGGTAGACAGGTCATTTTCGACTTGGAGGGATATGGGCAGTGGAGTTCCCCAGGGCTCAATCCTCGGGCCCGCACTGTTCAACATCTTCATCAGTGACTTGGATGAGGGTGTGAAAAGTACCTCGTTCAAGGGACTGAATTTGCCCAGCCTCAGGCTGGGGGGAAGTAATCATCATCTGCATGCTGTCTGCAGAGAGTGGTGGTAGACAGGTCATTTTCGACTTGGAGGGATATGGGCAGTGGAGTTCCCCAGGGCTCAATCCTCGGGCCCGCACTGTTCAACATCTTCATCAGTGACTTGGATGAGGGTGTGAAAAGTACCTCGTTCAAGTTCACGGATGGCACTAAGATGTGGGGAGAAGTGGGCATGTTGGAGGAGTGGGACAGGCTGCAACTAGATCTGGACAGGTTACAGGGGTGGGCGGATGAGAACAGGATGGGTTTCAACACTGACAAGCGCAAGGTATTGTACCTGGGGAGGAAGAACCAGCAGCATACCTACGGCTGGGGAACGCTCTTCTCATCAGCACAGAGGCAGAAAAGGATCTTGGAGTCATTATAGACTCCAAGATGAACATGGGTCACCAATGTGAGGACACGGTCAGGAAGGCTAACCGCACCTTGTCATGCATCTCGAGCAGGTTGAAGGAGGTGATTCTCCCCCCCTCCCCCCCAATGCAACATTGGTCAGGCTGCAGTTGGAGTACTGTGTCCAGTTCTGGGCGCCGCACGTCAGGAGGGATGTGGTCAGCATTGAGAGGGTCCAGAGAAGGGCCACTTGCATGGTCAGGGGGCAGCAAGGCAGGCCCTACAAGGGCAGGCTACAGGACCTGAACCTGTTCAGCCTTCACAAGAGAAGGCTGAGAGGGGATCTGGTGGCTGTCTATAAACTGGCCAAGGGGGACCAGCAGGCAATGGGAGAGACCCTGTTTCCCCGAGCACTACTGGGAGTAACAAGGAACAACGTCCATAAGTTGACTGAGACTAGATTCAGGCTAGATATCAGGAGGCGCTACTTCACGGTCAGGGCAGCTAGGATCTGGAACTAACTTCCAAGGGAAGTGGTGCTTGCTCCTACCCTGGGGGTCTTCAAAAGGAGGCTAGATAATCACCTAGCCAGGGTCATTTGACCCCAGCATTCTTTCCTGCCCATGGCAGGGGGTCGGACTTGATGATCTGCTCAGGTCCCTTCTGACCCTACAACTATGAAACTATGCAAGGCATGGGCTGCCGTATAAGGAAGTTTCGGAGCCGCCAGTAGAGCCCCTGGCGTTGGGACAAGGAATGGGCAGCCTCCCACTTAATAAATCAAGTTAGCAACCAGGTTTTGGCAGGCCAGATAGGGAAGACTGCCCTAGGCAGGTGGGCTGGCTGCTTTGGAATCTGGCCTCGAGATTCTCCCCTGCCTCAGTAACCAACTGCCTAGCTGTGGCCCTGTGAGGGGATTGCGGCCCTTCTCCTTTTCCCCTCATCCTCCCCCCTGGGCTATGGGAAGTCAGCAGCCTGAGTGTGGCAAAATCATGGTGCCCCCAGTTCTATCAGGTGCCTGACATGGTTTGGTCCGCCTTCTCCTTCCTCCAGCAACAAGTCGGAAACGTTCCCTGTGGCAACACGGCTCAACGTGACGTGCGTGGGGCTGTCTCCAGATGGAAGCCTGGCCATACTTGTTGACGAAGGTATTTGCAGGGTAGGGGGGTGATGGATTGTATGGGGGGAGGGGTGTTGTTCCTTCAGGAGTATAATGGCAACACAGTCTGTAGGGAACACCTGCACTATTAGGTAGGCAAAAGCTTGGCCCAATGCAAACAAGTGGCAGTGGGATGAAATTTCAGTTCTGTAAGCACCAAGGTCTTTTTCAGAGCTTCTGAAGCAGGCCATAGCTGCTTGCATCTTGTTCATCTTCATGTTGGGATGTTGCAGTTTCAGCTGTTTTACAAAAAGGATTACCAAAGCCCTTGGTTTGGGGGGAAAAAAAAATTGTCTGTTGTCTGTGGCTTCTGCTGCAAGTCATTTTTCAGCCCTTCCTTTCTTCCTTACAGAGGGAGCTGCTCTGCTTGTCAGCTTAATCACGAGGTCAGTAATACATCAGTTCCACTTTCAGAAGCCAGTGCATAGCGTCTGCTTCTCCCCTGATGGCAAGTAAGTAGGACCATGTTTAAAAAGAAAAATCTGAAATGGGCTCTAATTAATGTAAACAGACCCAAAAGGAATTGATGACAATCTTTTGTGTGAAGGGTACCCAGTGAATGCATGAGCTGGATCAGGACCACTTTCTGTAGACCTGAGTGTGTATGAGGCAGCATTTTGCAGTTTCTTACCATTCTCTTTCCCAGTACACTTGTCTGGTGGAGCTATGTGTTAGAAACTTAACCCTGACTTCCTATCATGTTTCATGCCATTCCATAATGCACAGGTGCCTAACAGACACGCACACACTGTTACTTTAGAAATTAAGAGTCATGATTGTATAGTATTCTAGGATTGGGATGGATGATGGAGGTATGTGGAATGATGGCTAGACAGATGGAGCCTTTGAAAAGTACTTTGAAAAAGAGTATCTTAACAATTCAAATCATAGAATCATAAAAAAATTAGGGTTGGAAAGGACCCTCAACAGGTCATCTAGGCCAACCCCCTGCTCAAAGCAAGACCCACGTCAACTAGATCACCCCAGACAAGCCTTTGTCTACTCAAGTCTTAAAAACCTCTAAGGATGGAGATTATGCAGTCTCTCTGGGTAGTCTGTTTCAGTGCTTTATTACCCTCCTAGTGAGAGTTTTTTTCCAAATATCCAACCTAAACTTCCTTTGCTGCAACTTGAAACCATTGTTCCTCCTGTCATCTGCCACCACTAAAAACAGTCTAGCTCCGTCTTCTTTGTAACCACCCTTCAGGTAGTTGAAGGCTGCTATCAAATCCCCCCTCAGTCTTCTCTACTCCATACTGAATAAACCCAGTTGCCCCAGCCCCCTTAGCATTTTTGTTGCTCTATACTGGTCTCTTCAATTTGTCCACATCCTTCTGTAGCAGGGGTCCCGAAACTAGACACAGTACTCCAGATGTGGCCTCACTAGTGCTGAACAGAAGGGGAGAATCGCTTCCTTCAGTCCGCTGGCAACACTCATACTACCGAAGCCCAGTATGCTGTTAGCCTTCTTCACAACCAGGGGGCACTTTTGGCTTATCATATTCAACTTATTGTCCACTGTAACCCCCAGGTCCTTTTCTGCAGAGCTCCTGCTTATCCAATCAGTTCCTAGATTGTATGTCTCCAATTATGGATGCCTGTACTGGTTGGTGTATGGAATTGTTCCATCCTAAGTGCAGGACTTTGCACTTGTTCTTATTGAACTTAATGAAATTTCTTTTTGTCCAATCCTCCAATTTGTCTAGGTCTCTCTGTGTATCCTAGCCCTACCGCCCAGCATATCTACTACTCCCACCCAGGCTGGTGTTACCCACAAACTTGCTGAGGCTGCACTCCATCCGATCTTCCAGATCAGTTATCTTTCCTTTTAGCATGTGGGTGCATGGATGTTTCCCTTGAGCAACCATAATTGATTATAGTAAAGATTTTTTCTTCCTGGGAGTAATACAGTAACCCAAGGATGTCAGACTGAACCCACTGCTTGGGCTGGATCTGGACAGTGGGGCTTCTCACAGGCCAGATCTGGGTAAGCTGTCCTGATTTTGACAGCAGGCTCTGCCCCTGAATTTCTGGCCCCTCTACTAGCCTTGTGGACCATATGACACAGCTCTGTGGGCCGTAAGTTTGACACCCCTGCCATAAACTATTTGTATGTGTATTTGTAGGAGCGTAGGACACTATATTTGCAAGTGATTTTAAATTCAGGACTTTTTTTTTTACCATTGCAACATTAACACGTTAATGTCATCTTATCACAAGAAACACTTATTTCTTTTTTCGTTGTCTTATTCCTGGCAGTGAAGGACTGGCTGATTCTGCAGTTTTGTTTGTAATTTTAGTCTGTTTTTTGTATAATAGGAAATTTGTGATCACAAAAGACAATGTTGCTCTTATGTACCATGCTCCTGGGAGAAAGCGAGAATTTAATGCCTTTGTTTTGGACAAAACGTACTATGGTCCATATGATGAAACAACATGCATTGACTGGACCGATGATTCCAAGTAAGTTGTTATAGAGGTTGATGACACTTGAGTTCCTATCTGTCATACCCAGTGCATTTTATAAGGTTCATTTTGTGTTTGGTGTGATCAAGGGTATATGCTGGAACGTGAGATTTTTGTTCCAGTAAAAAAGTCATTTGTTTCTGTTCATGCTCTAGTCCAGTTTCTAGGCTTCAGCACTTTTATGTTCTTTGAAAAGCTTCTTTGATTTCTCCATTTTTTTTCTTTTTTTTCCTTCTTTAAGCAAAATGACATGTTTTGTTTTTGTTTTGTTTTGTTTTTTAAGTTGCCCAAATATATATCTATGTAACATACATCTTGGGCAGCAAACACTAAAACCTTCCTTAAAATATGTGCATTGGCCCCTGAAGAGAACATCTAGGAGTACAGACAGAGCTGCTTCATACCTATTTGATCCTTCATATCTCTGTCAAGCCTACCATTTGTAGTGTGGGCATCTGTCTAGTATGAATTACATGTTGAGTTGTCTCCATTGGTGTTAAAATGTGGTCTGTGCAATGAAAATATTGAGAACCTGTGTTTTAATCTGAACCACTTTTCCTTTCTTTTGTAGGTGTTTTGCAGTAGGTAGTAAAGACATGTCAACATGGGTGTTCGGAGCTGAGCGATGGGCTAACCTGATCTATTACTCACTGGGAGGGCACAAGGATGCAATTGTAGGCTGTTTTTTTGAAGAGAATAGTCTAAATGTATGTAAATCATAATACAACTTTTTATTATACTTATTAAAATTGAGGTAGCATTTTTTTCCCAAAAAAACCCCTCTGACTTTTTTTTTTTTTATCCTGGATTTGAAATAATATGTTCATGGAAATTAGAGGTGGAAAAACCTGCTTGTCTGTTTAGTTGCTAATGCACTTTTATTTCCTGTTGCTTTGTAAAGTATCAGATGGCTTAAGCAAAGTACAAGTTACAGTGGTCAGGACAGTGGGGGTCCAACTGTTTTGGCAGGTGTCCCACAAATTAGTCTTGCACCTTCCCCTAATGCTACTTGGATCCTTTTCCCATAAATAAGGTGCTCTTTAGCTTTCTGCTCTCTGCCCTGTGCTCCCTGACCAAGCTGCTGCTCTTCTTTTTGCCCCCTGCCCTGTGCTCCCTGCCTTATCTGATGCTTTGCTTTCTGCTCCCTACCCTCTCTGCATTGTGTTGCCTGTCACTTGCCCAATCTACTGTGTGGTGGGCATAGAGGCTGGTTTAGGGTACTACTATTTTTGCCTAATTATAATGTGTTTTCACTGGATGTCGTTTGAAACTATATTTATAAGAAAGCAAGCTGTTTTTGAGCTAGAAGGACCCAAGGAAATTTCATGTCGAAATTTCAAGGTTTGCAGTAATTTTCTTTCTTCTGAGTAAAGCTTGTAATTTTCAAGCCAAAAGAGTTTTTCAAGAGGAAGTTAGAGACACTCGAATCATGCTTTTGTAGTAGAAGCTAGCTGCAGTCTTAATGAAGGAGTATGCAGTAGCACTTGTGAATATAGTTCTATAACAGTTCAATATCGTTTAATTCAGCAGGTTATGAATCACTTGTATAACATGATGTTCATAACAGGTGCACGTGTATTTTTACTCCAGATATACACAGTTAGTCAAGATGGGGCTCTCTGCGTGTGGCAGTGTGATACAGGTCTGGATGGTCTGAAGTCTAGGCCTCCTAAAGATACAGCCAAGGACAAGAACAAATCAACAATAGACTTGGGTGATGATTTTGCTGAGCAGTGTAAGGGAGAGGAGATCCATGGAAAAGCCAGTACAAATAAACAAGAGAACAGAGAGAAAGTGAAATATTCACGTGTTGCTAAGTGAGTATTGTTGGTTTTTTTCCAAAGGTAAAAAGGGTATAACAGGCATTCACTATAAAGTGTTCTTTGTTTATTTCACCTTATTCTTCATTTTTCACATTTTACCCAGTCTTATCTGAAGCTAATGTACAACCCTACCCATGTTTCAGGTGTTCTGGATGCCAGCCATTAAACCCCTCTTCTGACTGTCCTTAATAGAGCACCTTTGGTCATGACTTCAACTTGAGAATGATGAGACTGATATTCTAAGCATTAAATCACCACTCTTCATCTGACATGGATTAAATCAGGGATGTTATTTTTTTATGTTGGTACAAAATCACCTAAAAATAGTAATTTTCAGTTACAGGCATAAGAAATATGTATGCCGCCTTGCAGCTTCACTGATGGTGGCTATTTAGTTCCTGCTGCTCCAAGAAATGTGGGTTGATTTCAAAATATTACATTTTGGCTTTAAAAGTGATAACAGTGTATGTTGAAAATGTGAATCCTTTGAGATGACATCAGAAAATTGGGTGATTTTTATTTTTTTTTTTTCCCTGAAGGAGCTCCTTTCTTATTTCTCTGTTGTCAAAGGAGACCTTTTGTAGTGTGTACTGAAGTCTGGAATGCAGAGTCCTTTTATGTAAGGGAACTTTGCTTCAAATATGCAATTGTTGGATATTGTTCAAATGCTTATCTAACAGATCCTGAGAATGGAGTCAAATATATTAACACCGTAGCTGCAAAGAGAAATCTCAACTCCAGAAGCACGGTGTATATATAATTTTAATGATTCAATTATTCATTCTGGAAGGCAATTCTAAATGCATGGGTAACCACTTAATTTATAGAAACCACAATTGTTAGCATTAGGTGACCAGAGGGAAATCCACAATATAATTCCTCTGAGGATAACCGTAAGTGCCTTTTACTGCGTGCTCTCATAATTTACAACTGCCATGGTAACCTAATTTATTAGAAGCTGCATATGTGTCAGGAGGAAGAAAAGGCTTAGCAGTTCAGCTAATGGAATAAGGAGAAATGCAAACGTTAAATAGGCTGCAGAACCGCTGTTTTAGCTTGAACGTTGTTACCTCTGAAACACTTGCCTGACAAAACTGTCACTTCAGTAACACAGTTGTGTCTCTTCTCAACTTCTGTGTATTTTCTTTGATACATAGGTATTTTTTCAACAAAGAGGGAGATTTTAATAAATTAACATCTGCGGCTTATCACAAGAAAATACACCTCCTTGTCACTGGTTTTGCTTCTGGAGTTTTTCATCTCCACGACCTTCCAGAGTTCAACTTGATCCACTCCTTAAGGTTAGTTTAATTGAGTAAGCCTCAGTCTGTTCTTGTGTGTAATGCTGAGGAAGGAATGTCAAGGCATGAAAGTCTTCAGCATGAGCATCTACTGGATATTGTAAGTGCATTTTTGGCATGAGCTGGGGTTGCAAAAGCATTCTGATTCAAGAGGGGCATTGATCTCTGACCAATTAATAATATTGTTTAACTCCATTACATTGTTCTTATTAAAGAGGGGCATGATCTTAGCAAGGAACTCCCAACTTCTAATCCCAGCTGTGACAAACTCCCTTTATGGCTTTGAGCATGTCGCTCACCTCCTGTTTTAGTTTCTCTCTGTAAAATGAGGTTACAAAAGTGTTTACCCCAAAACAGTAGGAATAAATAGTATTTGTAAAGTGCTTCAAAAATGGCAGACAAGGTTCTTTGGGTAAGTGTGATACCTTTTATTAGACCAACTAAATAGTTGGAAAAATTGTTCTTTGCAGACTTTGATACCTTTTAAGAAACACTTGGATGCTTATCTTGCTGGGGTGATCTGACCCAGCCTGACTTCCTGCCCCTTGGGCAGGGGGCTGGACCTGATGATCTCCCAAGGTCTCTTCTAGCCCTAATGTCTGTGAAACCTGTACCTTGCCTGCCATCTGATAAGCCCAGGTAACCTGTCTCCATTTTACCAGCCACATTCTATCACCACTTCAACACCCCCCTCATGTGTCTCTCACCTATTGTCTCATAGGGCCTTTGATCCTCACAGCTATGCATTTGCATTTTAACAGACCTGGATTTTGCATAATGGCTTACATTCCACTGAGGAGAGCACAAACAGCAACAACTAACTCTCCCTGTGCCTGAAGAAGGGTGGTTGTACCCAAAAGCTTGCAAAGAACAATTTTTCCAACTATTTAGTTGGTTTAATAAAAGATATCACATTGACCCAAAGAACCTTGTCTGCCTGTGTCCTTAGACCTATGTCCTATGTCCTTACACCAACAACCTCAAAAATGATATATACTTTCTTGGTATTATAGATAATTGTGCCTAATTTTGTGGTAATTGCATTACATATTGTATTGTAACTGTAAGAGGTGATATACAAAGAGTAAATGCAGAATTTCCATTTACAACAAAGCAAATCACTGTTTTCCTGGTAGGGTCATTTTTATGTCCTTATTGTCATGAAGGAACAAATGTGTTCATAACCTTGATTTTATAGGACTATAGAAAGCATACAGATTAAAGGATATATCTGAATAGAGGCAATTAAAACACAATTTTTGAATGTTAAATTATTCCTTAATTCTGCCCTCTCTCAACACTTTTGTATATTTCTTGACATTTTCTTCTTAGTATTTCAGACCAGAGGATTGCATCTATTTCTATCAACTGCACTGGTGACTGGATTGCCTTTGGATGTTCAGGTGCGTGAACTGAGTTGAAGTACGTGAGTGATAGGACTTAGAACTGTTTTCAGACAAACAAGTTGCATGTATGCAGGTGTGTGTTCTCCTTTTTTCCCATCTAGCCCTGGTACACTTAAGTTTTGTTGTTGTTGACTTATCATAGTCTCTCAGCTTTTTGAGCCTATTAACAAATTTGCTTGTATAAAAGTCTTATGATATAGAGCAGGGTTGGCCAACCTGCGGCTCCAGAGCCACATGTGGCTCTTCAGAAGTTAATGTGTGTCACCTTGGATCTTTGTACAAGCACACAGTGACCAGCTTCCAAATATCACTCTTCATCTGCCATGGGCTAAATCAGGAATGTTGGTATGAAATCTCCTAAAAAAAATAGTAATTTTAAATTACAGGCATAAGGAATATGTATGCTACCTTGCAGCTTCACTGATGGTGACTTTAATTCCTGCTACTCCAAGAAATGTGGGTTGATTTCAAATGCAAGCTAGTCACCGTGTGCTTGTGCAAAGATCCAAGGAGATGCATATTAACTTCTGAAGAGTTGCGTGTGCCTCTAGAGCCTTAGATTGGCCACCCCTGATATAGAGTAATACAGTCGTTAGATTCAAGTCAGAAGTGAAGGCTGTGGTAGAATGTGGAACGGAAGCTAGATTTTTCAGTGTATGTGTACACAGCATAATGCAGAGCCATGTTGGAGAGAGGTGAGTTAAGTTTGGAGCTGGAAGCAGTATAACTGTCGCCTCGGCGCTCTTCTTGGTCTAATTGGTTCCAGGATCCAAGCCAGTATATTGGACTGCACTGCATTACTTTTCATCTCATACCACCAGGTTATTTGGAGCTGACATTGGTATCTCTACATAGTGCTGCATTGTGCAATGTAGATGTAGGCTTCAGTCTTAGTCCAATCCTGTTACTTGTAAAACCATCCTTGTGACTCAGCTCTGTTTGGCAAGAAAGCTTGTATTGCAGTGGCAATAGTCTTAGTGTTCTAGTTTCTTTCTGGACAGTCTCTCCTTTCCTCTCCATGATAATAAAATGTTTCTCTCTGCCACGTAGTACAGTTTTTCAAACAAGTTGCAGGTGAATGGATATACCAACAACCCTCTTCCAAATCTGGGTGGCAGGGCTGATTCATAACTCGTTGCCATGTAAGCTGGACCCTGCCTCCCTCAAAAATAATAATATCTTTAGAATACATCTTTGGATTCATGGGTGAACACCACGGGATGCCCCTAGGTATTCCAGAAGCGAAGTGGCTGCTTTGGTTACTTAAAAATAAGATAGATAAACATTAGTTCTGTTTCATTATTGTTTAGGCATAACCTTGCTTCATTCAAAAATGGTGAGATTTAAAGAACATCTGTTCACATAAAAATGCACAATTGAAGCTGAGTGTATTTTAGTTTTACTTTTCCCCTCTGTCTGCTTTTAGCTGCCCATCAACACCTCTCACTCTTCTAATAAGACCAGTCAATACTGTTCTGAGATAGAAGCAAGAATGCTAGGCCAAGTAATGATTGCTAGTATTTGCAGAAAGTCTCTGTTGCTTTGATTTTTGAAAGAGCCACTATGTGTTTTATCAGGATGCACATATATGTAATACAGCTCATCTGTATGAGCATGCTTATATTTTTTGTAAATGGGAAGGATGTTGCACTCAAATATGAATTTAGTATGTTTTATGTGATGCAACCTGTCACTTAATTAGAATTCTGTATCAGTCTTTCTCCATTGCATTTACAGGTCTGGGTCAGCTGCTGGTGTGGGAATGGCAAAGTGAGTCTTATGTACTGAAGCAGCAGGGCCATTTCAACAGTATGGTCTCGCTGGCATATTCTCCAGATGGACAATACTTAGTTACTGGAGGGGATGATGGGAAAGTAAGTGGGCCATTAAAATCTCATTTTATGAATCTCAAGAGCGCAGTAAGCAGTATAAGTCTGAATGCATTGTAGAAAGCTCCATTACTCTAAATGACATTTTGTATAATTACGCAAGTTGTTTTTATCTTCAGAGCCCTTGAATGTGCCTTGGAAGTGATTTTTCTCTACAAAATTGTACATCATTCGAGTGGTTATCGTAGGGATGTTTTTGAGGGCTCCATTGTTTCCCTTAATCTACCTGTTTTAGCAGCTAGGAATTTGCATTTGGAACAACTGCAGGTACAGGATAAAAAATGTTGGAGGGGGTTGTATTAATGCCCCTAACATCTGTCTACATTAATGCATAAGTGTTTATGGGAGCCTAATGATGTACAATTATTACCCCAAACTTAGCAAGATGTGCCAAGCCTTTGCAGTAGTTGGGAAGTACCTATCTCAGGATAAAATACATCAACTTTACAAAAAGACATACAAAAAACTAGAACTCTTGGTTCCAAAATTATACCTTTTATTAGACCAACTGGAAAATGGCAAGAAATTTGTCCTTTTCTGCAAGCTTTCAGGATCAAAGTCCCTTTGTCAGGCTCTGGGAAAAGTGTAGATGGTACAAGATGGTAAAAAGTCCCCATAGGTAGGAAATAAACTTCATTTTTGCACAGAGAGAGGTGAAGATGGAAGTCTGTCCCTCTGGGTCCATGAGTGTGTCTTTGTGAGCTGTGTTGAGTAGCTCTTTGATGTGTTGATCAGATAGAATTCCTTCCCTGGAGGTGTCAGATGGCAGGCAGGGAGGTAAAAAAACTTCCTTGTAGTTCTGCAGTGAAGTTTAAAATCCAAAATCGGCTGAAATTCGGCATCTTCCATGTTTCAGGGGTGTACTTGGTAGCCGTGTTGATCTGAGACAAAAAGACATACAAAAAACTAGAACTCTTGGTTCCAAAATGATGCCTTTTATTAGACCAACTGGAAAATGGCAAGAAAATTGTCCTTTTCTGCAAGCTCAACTTTACAAAAGTATTTAATTTCCAAACAACATTTTCTTTACTGTACCATTGCTTTTTTAAAAGAAAAACAAGTGTCTGTCATGGGTGATTTCTACATTAGAACTATAGAGTACAACCACTTTCTGGATTTTTCATGGACCCTATTTTTTCTTCAGTTATGGTCCAGAAATTTATATATATAATAAAATTAAATATTTTTCTTCCACACCCCCTGCCATGAGAAATTTGAAGCAGAGTAGAGCTGGTCAGGAATTTTTTGCTAAAATGATTTACGGGGAACCTAGAACTCTTCTGGCTCCTTAGCAGGGTATGTGAGCAAAAAATTCTTGACCAGCTCCACTTATTTTTCACTTTGGAAATGAAAGGCCCAGTCTTGCACTCCTCAGTTAATGGAATGCTGACTGACAGGATTAGGAGTTCTGGCTGAGATTAAGGCATGCAAAACTAGGCTTTTGGTTGAAAGAAATGACAAATCTCAGGGTTGGTTTGATTTAAATCACTAGACAGAAAGCTTTGATTTAATCATTGTTTTCTGCAAGAAATGCATTCTTGTTTTTTGATGTCCTTTATTCATTTAACTTCTTGAAACTTTGCACTTCTAGAGAAAGGTAAGGGTTTGACTGTGTGTACACAGACTTGCAGAGAGACAGTAGGGCTGATGGGTGGGTAATCCGGTCTGTTATCTCTCATCTCATATACTGCTGTTAACAAGGATGTTATCTCTGGAGACGGCAGACTCTCCCTATGCCTGAAGAACAGTGTTTGTGCCCAAAAGTTTGCAAAGAACATTTTTTCTAACTATTTACTTGGTCTAATAAAAGATACCACATCTACCCAAAGAACCTTGTCTGCCTATGATCTCTGGAGACACAAATCCAGAGTTTGACAACTAAAATTAAGCGTCACAGAGATGCTTAATGGGATCTTCTACACTGAGCACTGAGTCCCATTGGGTAGTGTGGTTTTCTTTAATCTTTGCTAATCTATAGAGGAGCCTCTGGAAACCCCATAAGATTGGGCCCCTAATATAGTCCATGGCCTCTGATGTATTTATAACTTCTAAAAATGTTACATGAATATATTGTTTCAAATAGTATATCATTAGAAGTTATAATCCCCATTCCATGATGATATATTTGAGCTTTAAGATATCTTAAATTAAAATTATCTTTATATGTGTATTTTTTTAAAAAGCTTAAAATACAGTTAAATAAAAAAATCTGATTTTAAATAAAAAATCAATTTATTTTATTTTATTTTAATTTTTTTAATCATTGATTTTTATCCACCCTGACAAATCTGTTGTGAACAAGAAAGGTTTCAACATGCTCTCTCCCTCTTCTCTCTCTCTCCCCCGATATATGACGCAGAGGTTTTTAGTAGTTCTTCCCATTTCTTGTGCAGGTAAAAGTATGGAACACCAGTAGTGGCTTCTGTTTTGTCACATTTACTGAACACACCAGCAGTGTCTCTGTTGTAACTTTTACGTCTACTGGTTATGTTATTTTGAGCGCTTCGCTGGATGGAACAGTGCGAGCCTTTGACCTTCATAGGTATGTCCCCTTTAAGACTCTCTGTACTGCCTTTTTTGTCTAGCAGGTTATTACATTAGTTTCAGCCATGGTACAGTTATCAAAATGTCAAGCAGTCTGTCCCCACGCTCCATTTTTTTATATCTTGTGTTTTCATCCCAACACTCTAAAGAGCTGCCTGCTGCAGTGCTCAGCGATCATAAGACCAAGTTGTTCAAGTCTGAGCACTGCTTTACTGATTGATGGTGATTTTATCAGTTTATGACTAAGTGACAAAACTGCTGAAGCAGTGATCTAGGATAGTGCTCAGCTTTTTTGGCTGGCGGGTCAGATGGGAAGTGCCCAAGCCATCCACAAGTCAGATCCGGCTGGTGATCCTGATCTGACATGGGGCAATTGCGACAGGAGGCTTCCCAGCTCCAATCTAGCCTCATTGGGAGGAGGGAGGCATTGTGGCTAAGTCCCACAGGGGGAAGGGGGCATGACCCAACCCCAGCCCAGCTCCTGGGGGGATGAAGGGGGCATGGGCCAGTCAATTGTGGTGGTAGGGGGCATGGCTTGGCCCTGTGGAGGGACGGGGAGGGGATCTGGCCTGGCCCTGCATGCAGGGGTGGGGTGGGTTTGGGAGTTTTAGCTGGCCCCAGCCTGGCCCCATGGGGGAAAGGACATGGCCTGGCTTCATCCAGCCATGGTGCTGGGGGGATGGGGTATGACCTGGCTCCAACTTGTTGCGCAGGGCTTAGGTTTTGAGAATTTGGCAGTGGGAGAGGGTGGCTGTATTTATTACCACCTCACCCCTGCTGCCAAATTTCCTTGTCTCTGGGGAACCCTGCAGGCCAGGTACCCTATGGCTCTGTGGGCTGCATTTCATCCACAGGCCAGAGGTTGAACACCTGTGGCTTAGAGAATATGAACAGGCCACCCAGCCAGCATGCAGGGTCCTTGAGGAGTCCTCGAGAATCATCTATCCAACCCTCTTCCAAGACCATCCTTGTCTAAACCTGCCCCTGTATAAACTTCCAAAGATGGCAATTCCACAACCTCTCTAGATAACCTGTTCCAATTCTTAACTACCCTTATAGTTAGAACGTTCTTCCTAATGTCCAATGTCAGTTTTCCTTGTTGTAATTTAAGGCAGTTACTTCTTGTCCTGCTCCTTCTGCCATAGAGAAACATTCTGTCACCATCATCTGTATGGCTACCCTTCAGATATTTCAGCACTTATCAAATTCCTCCTTGGTCTTTTTTTTTCTTCATATAGAACATTATGTATTTTTAGATCTGTGTTCTGCATCTGGAATCAAATAATTCTTAGGGTTTTTTTAATGCTTAGATGATCTATAGTTTGTATTTCCATAAACCTGAATATAAAGAAAAGGATTTTCTAGTTACCTAGTTGTTACCAAACTATCCCTTACATTGTTTCCAGGATCAAGGAATGAATGGCGTGGGCACTAAATGTAAGGGACCGATGCAATAAGAATATGTGCCTTATAAGGGTTCCATATTCATATAATGCATAATAGACCCTCTTACAGAATTTCCAATACCCATTATGGATTGCTTTTCTCCATCCTTGTCCCTCAAATTACTTTATATGCACAGACCCCTTCTGAAATGGTTTCTGTATGCAGTGAATTGTGCACTATACCTGTTGCTGTAGGCCAGAAATTCAGTAAGAGGAACAGGCTTGCAAGATTTAAGATATCTAGGTAGAGGAGCGTATGCTCTAACTCGCTCAGTAAAGGAAACTAACAAAACAAGAACATTTCTGGTGCAGACCATTAGGCAGAAGATCATAGAATCATAGAAAATTAGGGTTGGAAGAGACCTCGGGAGACATCTAATCCAACCCGCTGCTCAAAGCAGGACCATCCCCAACTAGATCATTCCAACCAAGGCTTTGTGTAACCAGGTCTTAAAAACCTCCAAGGCTGACCACAGCCTCTCTAGGTAACCCATTCCAGCACTTTACTACCCTATTGGAGAGGGAATTTTTTCTGATATCTAACCTAAACTTCCCTTGCTGCAACTGGAGACCATTGTTCCTTGTTCTGTTATCTGCCACCACTGAGAACAGTCTAGCTCCATCCTCTTTGGAACCCCACTTCAGGTAGTTGAAGACTGCTATTAAATCCCCCCTCAGTCTTCTTTCCAAACTAAAGAAACCCAGTTCCCTTAGCCTTTCCTCAGAAGTCATGTGCCCAATCCCCTAACCATTTTTGTTGCCCTCCGCTAGACTTTCTCCATTTTGTCTTGCACCCTTTCTGTTGTAGGGGGCACAAAAACTGAACAGTGCCCCAGGTGTGGCCTCATCACTGCCAAATAAAGGAGGAGAATCACTTCCCTTGGTCTGCTGGCAACAATTCTATCAATGCAGCCCAGTATGCCATTAGCTTTCTTGGCAACAAGGGCATATTGTTACCTCATATTCAGCTTATTGTCCACTGCAACCCCCAGGTCCTTTTTTGCAGAGCTGTTGCCCAGCCAGTCAGTCCCTAGCCTGTACTGGTGCATGGGACTGTTCCGTCCCAAGTGCAGGACTTTGCACTTGTCCTTGTTGAGCCTCGTGAGATTTCTTTTGGTCCAGTCCTCCAATTTATCTACATCTCTCTGAATGTAGCCCTACTCCCTCAGTGTATCTACTACTCCCCCCAGCTTGATGTCATCTGCAAACTTGCTGAGGGTGCACTCCATCCCATCTTCCAGGTCATTGATGAAGGTATTGAACAAGCCTGGCCTCAGAACCAACTCCTGGGGCACTTCACTTTATACTGGCTACCAACTAGACATCAAGCCATAGATTGCTATCCTCTGAGCCCATTAATCCAGCCTGTTTTCTATCCACCTTACAATCTGTTGATCCAGTCCATACTTCCTTAGCTTGCTTGCGAGAATGGTGTGGGAGACCATATCAAAAGCCTTGCTAAAGTCTAGATATAGCATATCCACTGCTTTGCCTGCATCCACAGAGCCAGTCACCTCATCATAGAAGGCAATTAGCTGTATACACACACCCAGGAGCTACTCCATTATCCATATAGTGACATAGTACATGTAATGGAACAAACATCCTCAAACATTAAAGTGAATGTTTTTTATTGGTTGAAAGTTGCATCCTCAAAAAATTTCTTGCTTCTGCAGCATGGGTGTATGTCTCTGAGTCAGTCCAGGACTCATGTATCAAAGTCATGACCAGCACACTCTACTGGCTGAACAAAAAAAAATATAATTACATACCTGTTTTTAATTGCTAATTTGTATATTGTAGCAATTCAAAATGTACTTTAGATTTAAATTCTTGCATTTGGTTAAAATCATTTTTTTTTAATGAACTATTAAAATGTGAAATGCATTCATTTTTGTAATGCTTTCTTGAAGACTTCATTACTTACGCATTTCTAAAATTGTTCTTAATATTGTTTATGATAGATACCGGAATTTCCGCACCTTCACTTCTCCACGACTGACCCAGTTCTCTTGTTTAGCTGTGGACTCCAGCGGTGAGATTGTTTCAGCTGGTTCCCAGGACTCTTTCGAAATCTTCATCTGGTCAATGCAGAGTGGCAGACTCTTAGATGTAAGGGACTGAGATTTGGTTTCTGAATCTTTGCAGTTAACATACAGTATGTCTTGTTAAGTATCTTCTAGGTTAAATTGTGTGTGCCTGAAGGTGGGTGAGCAGGGGGCACACAGCCGACATGGGGCTCCTAAGAGAAAGGCAGCAGTGCAGAGAGCCCTGAGCCTATGGCAAGCAGCCTGCATCTGCCCTACACACAAATCTGGGGATGGGGCACATGCCTCCCCTGGGGGGTTCAGGCAGTGTTGGGGAGCTACCCCCACCTCCTCCCTGCACCACTTGGACAAGTCACACATGGCTCCATCCTGCCCTGGCCCCAGGTCCCATTCACTGCCCTGGCTTGGCAGCGCTCCCTGCTCCACTCTTTCAATCCACACCTCCTCCATCCTCTGCACCCCTTTCCCTCCATAGACTTACCTGCAGGGCGCTGCTCTCCATGATGCTCACCTGCGTTCCTTGCTACGTGTATGCATGCAGCTGCGCACATGCACACAGCATTCAGGGGCCTGAGTCAGAAAGCATATCATTTATCAGTGAACATTATCAGCTACACTGGCCAAAAAAAGCTGATGATGTTAATTTTCCTTTTATTGGTGCTAGTCCAATATGCAACTGATATCTTGGTGCACATCTACATTCCATCTGTTGAGAAGAACTAAATGTAGTAGGGATGGGGCCAGTGGACATACTTACAGTTTTGCTACAGAATTATATGTTGAACTCAGTTTCACATAATTATTTCCTTATTATCTTTTCTACATCCATTAGGTCATCTGTGGTCATGAAGGCCCCATCAGCAGTCTTTGTTTTAACCCGATGAAGAGTATCCTAGCTAGTGCTTCTTGGGATAAAACAGTTAGATTATGGGATATGTGTGACAGCTGGAGAACCAAAGAGACCCTAACACTGAACTCAGATGGTAAACTTAATTTCATGTTATGTAACTTATCATTTGGAGGCAGCCAGATACGAATTTCATAGATTGTAAGGGCTGGAAGGGACCTTGCAAGATCATTGGGTCCAGCCTCCCCCTGCACTAGGCAGAATTGGTTCTGCTCCTTCAAAGATGTTCTGTAAATGTTTGTATCTGATGCCATTGGTCAGTCAGAATTTTATTAACTTATTACAAGCTGCAGTTTTCATTCTTGCTCTTTCATACAATCTGGAAACATTCAGCAGCACAATAAGTTTTTGGTACTAACTACCCAAAATATAATGTTATAGTCAGTTTAACATTACATTTTGTCCAAAAAAATTGTATTTACCTCATCCTTTTAAATCTTGTTTCTGAGAATCTAGACAAAAGTATTACACAACGTGGTTTTAAAGTAAGGTGTGGCTACTTTTTTATTCATTGACTAAATTTTGTACAGTGCTTGCTGTTGCTTTCCGACCTGATGGCAAGGAGCTTGCGGTTGCAGCCCTGGATGGACAAATAACTTTCTGGGATTCTGAAAATGCAGTGCAGACTGGCTCAATTGAGGGAAGACATGACCTTCAAATGGGAAGAAAAGAGTTGGATAAAATAACAGCCAAGCAAGCTGCTAAGGGAAAGTATGTAAAATAGTCTTGTGACAATGACAAGAGATTGACTATACTCACTTGTTTTTATTATACTCATTTTTTCCTTTTGTACGATGTTTTCCTGACTTGAGTTTTTTATGATAGTTTCAGAATTTAACTGTCACTTAAATATTTTGATTATGAAATTTGGTATTTTCTGACTTGGCA